CCCCCGTCCTCCCTGCAATCTAGCCCTCCCCCTTGCCCAGAATGACCCACCCGGCCCCTCCTCACGCTCCAGAACAGCCCCCTCCCTCCTCCCGCAGCTGCAGCCTGGCCGGGAAGGGGCAGGGCGTGTCCACACTGGAGCCCGCCGCCCATTGAGCCCAATCCCTGCCGACCCCTCCCCGGGGAAGCTACATCCGCCCCCGGGCAGGGGCCACTCGCTCCCCCACAGGACGCAACAGCAGCGGCGGCGGCGGCGCTCGGCGCTGCACTGAGCCGGCCGGGATGCCTCTCCCTGCCTCCCCGCAGCCCGCTCCGGGCCCCGCCCGGCCCGTCGCCGTGACCGAGACCGGGCTCCTGGGGACCGCAGTGAAAATCCCGCCGCACGGCTGCAATAGCGGGGCGCTGCTGGGCAGGCTCGGGGTGCTCGTCCAAGCCCTGCTGGCCGCGGCGGCTTTCAGCACCCTGATGTGTGAGTACCCGCTCGCCGCCTCTGCCCCCGTCAGCGGGACCGTCCCCCAAACCTCTCCCTGGGGCCAAACCTGCTCCGCCTGGGGTGGGGAAAAGGAGCCAACGCCTTGAGCGATTAGTCGCCCGAACTTCGCTTACAGCTGGGCTGGGCGCAATGCGAGTGCTCTGTTTGGTGCCATTTCCGCACATACGGTGATGGCTGGTTTTAAAACTTTTTTTTATTTTTATACATTTAATTTTTTTTTACACTTTGCAGGAACTTGTGGGAGGGCATCAGACAGGTAAAGGCACAGGAAGACAGAACAATTTGTATAGTGGGGGTGCTGAGAGCCATTGAAGTAAACTGTAAACCAGTGGTTCTCAAACTTTTGTACTGGTGACCTCTTTCACATACCAAACCAATGAGTGTGATTCTCCCCCCCCCCCTTATACATTTAAAAACACTTTTTTTATATATTTAACACCATTATAAATGCTGGAGGCAAGCAGGGCTTGGGGTGGAGGTTGACAGCTTGTGACCCCCCCATGTAATAACCTCACGACCCCCTGAGGGGTCCTGACCCCCAGTTTGAGATCCCCTGCTGTAAACCTTGGATATAATGGAAACCACACCCTTAGTTCCAGCACCTAGGGGCACCGGAGTCCTTATGAAGCCACAGTATAAACACAGATCCCTTTGTGTTAAAGACAAAAGACCCCCCTCCCTGTTTAACATTAAAGGGTTGTATGTGGCCCAAGCTGAACGTCTAAGCCTGGCAGCAGATTCCAAAAGTTAAAACTTTAACCTTAAAAGACAAGGTGTCAGTGTCCCAGGTCAAAATACACAATTGGAATCAGGGCCTGCTCTAGCTTTTTTGTTGCCCCAAGCAAAAACAAAACAAAAAAACCCCGCCGAGTGGCAAAGCAGGAAAAAAAACAAAACAACCCCGCGGGGCAGCTGGAGCCGGGTGCAGGGGGACTCCCTGCACTGCAGACATGCCCCGGCTATCGGGGGGGTGGGGGGGGGAACAGGGAGAGAGAGTGAAGGGGGGGTGGCTAGGGCTTCAGCGGGGCGCTCTCCACGCAGCCGCACGGCCTGCCGGGAGGGCTCCACGCTGCTCCGGTCGGCGGGGAGGGAAGGACACGGGCTGCCCTTCCGGGCTTACTACAGACCTGGCATCGGCTGGGGCAGACAGAGTGCGCAGCCCGCTCCCAGCAGGGCACTCCCCTCCTCCGTGCCGCTGCCCCCTACTGGGTGGCCGGATCAGCGAACCCACACACAAAAAAAAAGCGGCTGCGCTCCCCTAGGATTGGGCGGAATGCCGCCCCGTAGAATCTGTCGCCCCAAGCATGAGCTTGCTTGGCTGGTGCCTGGAGCTAGCCCTGATTGGAATATCTTTAAATCAAACTCTAATACGTTCTCTAGCAGCATTTTTCTTGCTTTGCCGCTCTGTGAATTTTGAGGCTCAGCGAGGGAAATATTTGTCGGTTTGTGTGTGTTCAGTGAAATCAGCATTTACTGGGAAAAAAACTCAAATCCTTCCAAGCCTGCTTTCAATTAAGTGTCTTAAAACTTTAGCAAAGGTCACATATTAACATGTTTTTTGTTGTGTGATCTATCCCCGCCATGTTTTTGATGTAGGAAGAATGTATTGTGTCCATCCCCTGTGTTCTCATGTCTTGTGTTTATATTTAAAAACTACTTTAAATGTCTCGCCTGGTGACCTTTAATTTTTTGGGAAGGCTGTTCCATGTTGTGAGGCTGTGAGACACCAGGTGTACCTAGCTGAGAATGGGCATGCTTTTGAAAGGGAGGCTGTAAACTTTGTGTTAGTGCATATTTAGGTTTCCTTCCATGGGTTGTGGCCTGCGAATATCTCAGATCGCTGACGCAGTGGGAGCAAAGGTAAAAATCCAATCCGTTTATACTGCCTCTTGCATTTCTGGTTGGACAATGAGACTCACTTTCTCATCAGAGTATGTTTTAGTCCAAGAGCCTCTATTGGGCTAGAAGGCTGCAATTTTGGGGTTGCCAACACTGAAAGAGAAAAGGTGTCTTTAAAAGATGTTTCCATTTGACCTTTTGCAAAGATGCATCTATATTGTTTCTATATATTGGGATGGGAGCAGGGGTTAATAACATTTAATTTAAGGTCAAATCCCGACACACACTCCAAAGATCAGTAATTGTTTATTATACAGCGTGGTCTCTGGTGTGCTGAAAACATATTTTAACTAAAGGAAATGATTAAATGCATTAGATTACACCCCTATTATTCCTAATGGCTGTTAGCCCACCTAAAACTTGAGTGTTCAAAGGAGTGGACAATCTATAGTAGATCTTGGAGTGTCAGGGTGGTGGCGGTGGAGTAGGTGTAAGTTACTTCTGTTTTCTAATGCAGTGGTCTCCAAAGTGGGGTGTGCAAAAGGATCCATGGGGGTACGCGGCAGGGGGAGTCCAAGCGGCTTTTTTTTTTTTTGCTTCGGCAGTTCCCCGAGTGGCTTTTTTTTTCCTTTGGCAAAAATGGTAGAGCTGGCGCGGCAGGGGGTGCATGCTCAAAATTTTTTTACTGATAGGGGTGCGCAATCAAAAAAGTTTGGAGACCACTGTTCTAATGGTCTTGGCTTGGAGTTAGCAGTGCTGTTGGGAATGCTGATAAGCTGTGTGCCTTCCAAATAAAAATAGCTTTAGAACATGTTATGGGAAGTACAAAAAGACTGTGAAAGGCTAGGTTTTGGCTGTCTTCATCAGGATGTATAGACCAGAGACCTTTGTGTGGCTTTGCAGGGTGTAGTCACTTACTACTGATATGGTGGTGTCTTGCATCCGCTTTGCACAGGGGTAAATCATTACATATATTGCATGATAATGGAGAGTGGCCCCAGTAGAATTTATATTTATTTGTAATGGGAGCTGTCTCCAAAAATCAGGCATTGAAGCCAGAGTATAAACACAGATCTCTTTGAGTTAAAGACCAAAAAACCCTCCTTCCCTGCTTAACATTAAAGGGGTCTATGTGGCACAAGCTGAGAATAACTGAAAGTCTAAGCCATGGCTAACCCTGCACAATAGGTTTGGCTTGTGAGCTTGAACATGGAATTTCCTATCTTGCTTGCACCAGTTTTTTCTCAGCATTACATTTTTTTAAACAACTCCAAACACAAACTCCTAATATATACATTGCTGAGAAGGCTAGACTAGATCCTGGGTAAATACATATTAAGGGACCTGACACTCGTTCTCAAGATTATTGCCACAGATTCTAATTGGATTGTAATTAAACACAATGTCATAGATCTAATCTATTAAAATTGGCTGTGCTACAGTGGACAATTAGTCATTTATAAATCTCTAATGATGAGGAAAAGGTAATTCATTGTTAGTTTTATCTTCTCACTAGTATAAACCAACATAACAGAGTGGACTGGCAGCAAATACAACGTTGCTTAATTGGAATTGTAGGTTTTCCACGTATTGCTCTAATTCCAAAGATGACTTAAGCTGCAAAATCACTGGAGATTTAAAACCCTAAAACAGAGTTTACCAAATACTAGTCAATTCAAATGAAGAGAGGTGGAAATTATTGCTAACAATGGAGGAACAAGAGCCTGGTATTTGTGGAGGCTGGGGAGAGAATTCATTGGATGGTGTATATCATTTAACTTTAAAAAGTGAGCTAGTTTTAATTTGAGGCTCGTGACCAATGCAACTGATCGATTACTGTTAAAGTGCTAATGAGTAAGAGTGAGGCCAGGGGGCTGGTCTGGATAAGGCCACTGGAGTAGGAGTCAGGCTGCCTAGGCCAATAACTTGCTGATCTTGAGTAAGTCACTGCACCTTTCTGCGCTTCTGATTCCCCTCTGTCTTACCTATCTATATTGTAATCTCTTTGTCATAGGGGCCATTAGTTAAAATGTTACACAGAGCCTAGCACAGCAAAGCCCTGAACTTGGCTATGGCTTCTAAGAGCCATAGGTGCCAACTTTTCCCAGCGCCCCGCCCCGACTCTGCCTCTGCCCCGCCCCATTCCATCCCCTTCCCCAAATCCCCGCCCCGGCCCCGCCTCTTCCGGGAGTGCCCCACGTTCCCCCTTCTCCCCCCTCCCTCCCAGCCCTTGCTGCAGCGAAACATTTTGCGGTGGCAAGTGCTGGGAGGAGAAGCGGAGACACGGCGCACTCAGGGGAGGAGGCAGAGCGGAGGTGGCCTGGGGTGGGGTGGGGTGGGGAGCTGCTCTGCACCCATCAATTTTTCCCCGGAGCACCCCTGGAGTCCATGCCTATGCAAAGAGCTATTGTAATATGAAACGGCAGGTGGAGGAGGGAGAAGAGCGGGGAAAAGCTTGTATCTGAAACTTCTCTGAAATCTCAGAAGCAAACTTCTCCCATCAAATGCATCCAGACTTGCCAACTCTAGTTGGAGCGAGGCTTTCTGAGCACATCTGACTCTGGGAAGCCATTGAATAAAAGATCTGTTAACTATACAGACTAGTTGGAGGGTTGGGGGGAGACGGAACTAAAGGTATGTATCTGGAAGTGGGCAGTGTAGGTTTTAGAGGTATGCTGGGATCAGTGCAGTAAATAGGAGAAGACTAACTTGCAGTCTGTAGTGCTTGTCATCCAAATATCTCAAAATACCTCTGAGCCTATGGATAGAGCAGGGAGTCTTCTGGGTTCTTCTCATGACTTTGCCACGGACTTCCTTGGTTAAGTCGCTTAACCTTTCAGTGCCTCGGTTTCCGTATCTGTAAGATAGCTGGGTTAATACTTCCTTGGGGTAACATGGGACTCCATGAATGGTTATAAAGCACTACTTCTTTAGACAAGTGAAATATTATTAACCAAACTTACTATGTCCTCATGAGATAGGTATGCATTGCCATTGTGATTTAGGGGTGGGTAAACTGAGGCACGGGACAGTTAAATGGCTTGCCCAACGTTGCACAACCAGTCAAGAATCGAACCTAGACATCTTAAATATGTTGTTGATGCAACAGTAGTGGAGATGAAGTAAGATCTGGAGAA